TTGCGCGGCATGGCCATGGGACATTTCTGGCTGAGGCCGTCGTGCTTCAACACATGGGCTCCGTGCGTTCTGAGAAACATGTTTTTATTGTTGGATCGTTCTTTTGTTCTAAGGGCACTCCGTGGTAGGCCTAAAGGGGTGCCGGGATGGCTGGTTCCCTGTTCAAGTCTGCCATGCCTGGCGTCAGCGAGCGGGGGGGGCGGGGACAAGGGGTCAGAGGAGGAATCAGGTACCAATACCGCTGCCCTTGCATCGTCTTCGCCTGTTTGGGCATCCTGGGAGGCCCTCGTCGCCACGGCTGCCATTGCCACGATATTATGTCCAGAGAGCAACCCGGGAGAGCTCGGGATCAGATGCGGTATTGAAAGCTTTGAACAACCACCGCGAGACCGCCAATTCTGCCACTCAATGCAATGCGGGCCACGCTCGCGTCACCGCTCGCCACGTTAATTCCGTCCACAATCATCGGCTGCCGAACCATTCATGACAGTTTTCTCGAACATCAGCGAGCAACCACCAGTTCCAAAATCAGGCTTCGCCTAAGGGTTCTTGATTCGCTTAAGAAGAACAGGTGGGTGTCCAGCCTGGCCAGCCGGCGTACATGGGCGTTCCCTGGGTTTGGTTGTTTGGTGTTGTGTCTTTCTTGTCTTCCCCAGGTTGCTTGGGCCCCTTTCCTTCCTACATTCCCGGGCTGCTTTGTCTTGTTTCCCGTCTTCTTTCCCGTGGTTATTGGCTTGCTTGGGCTTGGTGCCCTGCAGTCCTTCCCGGGTTGCTTCGTCTTGCTTGCGTGCTTACTTGCAATGCCAAGCGACGCTATTGAAGTGCGAGCAATGTCAAGCTTTTCCGAACAGCCTCAAGCCATGCCAACAAATACAAACCGTGCCACACACCGCAAAGCAATGCCAAGCAAGGCTTAGCAATACCATGCAATACAAGGAGATGTTAAGCAACGCAGAACATAGCCTTCCTGGCTTAGTGTTTTTTGAAGCTGTCCTCGAATTTGCGGTGCGCCGAGTCTACTATGTTTCGAATGTTTGAGGAAGTCTGAAATTCTGCGGGCGCACATTTCTTCTCATTGTCCTCATCAGCACAGTGGCTATCATCATCGTTAGCGTCATCATTGCCATCGACGCAAGTACCATCGCACGTGTCATCGCCACCGTCGTCAACGTCACTGCCGTGGGAAGGTGGGATGTTTGATCGATTGGACCAGGTGCATTGCACGCCGTGGATCCCACCGTATTGCGCAACATTGGTTGCAACCCGTAGACAGCAGTTCACATACGACATTTTCACAGAGGATGCACCATTTAGATTGCGTCCCTTTGTAGATTACAGCACGCCGATTGCACCACACCTTATTCAACCGCATAGATTGCGTCGCGCAGATTGCATCACATGTATTGCGCCGAATGTGCAGAAGTGGCGTAAAGGTTGCATGGCAAGTATTGCACATCGTGAGTGCAATGACGATTTGTTTGGTGTCCGCAGTGGCAAGCATATGTTTTGATTGGGCCTCAATGCTCAATGCTCGCCTCGCCAGGGGCATTGCACATTAGGACTTTACTGCACCGCTGCCGCAACACACCGTGTCGCCTATGGGGACCCGTCCGAAAGTAGACGAATTGTAGCAGAGTTGATGGAGATTTGTGATTCCGATCCGCATTTGCATGGTTCGGAGTCGAACATTGACATTTGCCGAACATAGTTCAGATTCCAGATCCCAAGGTTATCGAACCGTGTGGCGTAGTCTTCTCAGCTGAGCGGCCCCCAAGCTGAATATTCGAACAGTTGTAACGGCGATGAACACAGCGGCACAGCGCGTGGCAAGACATTTCAATATTGGGTCTCTTTGTTGATCGTCGAAGTTGCATGCACCTCTATGTTTGCAGGCCGTGAAGCATGCCCGCATTTGTTGAGGTCAACATTATTGCAATGTCTGTTGATTGACAAGGACACACTCGAGAGCATACGGAAGCAGGGGTTCCTCCGCCTTTGCATGACCCAGTTGACTTCTTTGTAATTGCATCTATGTTTGAGGTTCCGTATAAAGAACTGCCTCTGAAACCCGCGCCACGCTTGATTCGCCGCTCACAGGGAGGGCATCCCGCGCATGTTACGTGCCTCAGTCCCTGGCTGCTTGTCAACAGGTCGAGAGATCTGCATGCCTGATCCCTTTATGTACGCACTGGCCTCAGCATGATTTGACTCACCATGACTTCCTTAGTCATCGGCCGCTGCCAAACCGACGTCCTACATTGTCGCATGTATGCTACGTGGTGCTCATTGATGGTTCATTTATGCATCTTCTGGTGTCAACGCAGCGCCCTCGCGGTGCCCCAGGTTGTCACAGTGGTATGTGTATGTGTGTGTGTGTGTGCGTGTGTGTGTGTGCCGTGCGGTGTCTTTGCGGTGTTCTGCATGTTGAAGGTGTGCGGGGTGCGAAGAAATTTGAAAAGCGGTCAACTTTCAGGCGGCATGTCGCAGGCATGCACACGATCTATCGATTATATACCAGTCGATAGTTGTTCATGCGAATGACTTCGTGGCAGATCGGCTGAGTGTTTCGCCGACGGGTAATTGAGAACAGTTTACAGCATTCTAGCACCATGCATTCAGTGATCGGCGCGACACCTAATTTCCAAGCCATCAGTGGCGTACTACGTGGGGCAAGTATTGAATACACCAGTCTGCGTTGGTGCGTAAAGAAGGGGGGCATCTGTTACAATTGAAGGCGGCCTGCCTATGGAGCCTTTTGTGCGCCCATGGCGGAGAAGACATTTTTGTTTGTTCTCTTGAGTCTCATGATGGATCAGTCTTGCTGCAGTTGCAAACGCGTGTTCGACGATTCTGTCACGACATGGTGATTGCCTTTGGCGCTCGTACGCTTGCCAGACAAAGAGCTGCATTTGAGACGTGATTTCCATGTGTTCAGGCTGTCGCAGGAGTGCCTACGTGTTTTACATGTGTGTCTTTCAGTCCGCGTTGCTTCTAGCGTGCCCCGGCGTGTCACGACCTTCTGTCCAGGTCCTTCGTGAGGGCCGTCCAGACCTTGACGGAGGCATTTCTCCTTCGGACAGCAGCGAGGAGAAGCAGCGGTAGAAGAGGGACGACGTGAAGGACGGGGGGGGAGCGAAGGAAACGGGACGGAGAAGGGGAAAGATGATGGGGTTTGGCAGGAATAGCTGACGGAGGGCAGGGCTGCTCAGAGTCCGATTTGATCCGATCCGATCTCCAAACTTCGGTTCCGACCTCCCAGGCTGGTTTTTCACCCCCGGTCTTGACTCGCCCTGGGGCCTGGGGAAGGCCAGCGGAGGCCGATTACGGCAGAGAAGGAAACCCACGTCTTCATGCCTCGCGACCTCAGCACGTCGGGGATTCGACCTCAGCTCGGGCCCGGCCGTGCCGGTGGAGCCCCTGCCGGCCCAGCTCCGGCGCGGGTCGTCGCCGCGAGGCGGGCTTCCGGCAGACGGGCGACTTCGCCAAGGTGCCGCGGCTGCTGTCGAGCCGCCGGGCCCCGCCCAGCAGGGACGGCTCCAGGAGGCCGCGCGGGAGGGGGGCGCCTTATTGCCGCCTCGAAGGCACAGAGGAGTGGCACCCCGGCAGGGCACGGTGATGGCATCGGGTCGGGCGAAAGGGGGGGACTGGGAAAGGTGGGGTTACGAAATTTGCTGCATGCAGCTGGTTTCGGCCTCACCGAGGGGCCCATTCCTCCATACATGGCCGCCTCTGGCGCCGGGAGGCGCCGGGAAAATCAGCTGCGTGAGCTGATTCTCAAACCCCCCCTTTGCTATCCCCCCCTTTCGCCCGACCCGATGGCAGCAGGGGGGAGGAGGCGGGTCGAGGAGAGGAGGGGAGGTCGAGACGGGTCGAGGGGTCGGGGGCAGGAACCACGAGCCCTCGCACGCAGAAGAAGACGCAGCGAATCACCCCGGCACAGCGGAGCAGAGCTGCCTCAGCAAACCACCCTAGCAGCAGCGAAGGTGAAAAGACGGGTCGAGGAGTAGGAGGTCGGTGGGGTGAGAGCACGGCCATGTGCACCTCGGTGCTTTCGTTACAATAACTGTGGGCGTCTGGACAAATAATGTAGCCAGCTTTGATGCGAGAGCACGATTCCTGACTACACTGTGAGGACGCCTCAGGCGAAATGGCTGCCACACAAGGCGATATAGGGGGGCGCGCGGTAACGGGTTCCCCGTCGTCCCTGCGGGACTCCTCTGTAGTCTTCTTAACCACTATTGGAAACCTCACGCGAATCCCTATTAGCGAAATGAGCGCGAGGAGGGAAGGGTGTTCCGAAACCGTTGCCATTGCATCGTTCTTGCCATTTCGGGATTTCTGGGAGGACTTTGTCGCCACGGCCAGATTCGCCTCGAAATCTTGGTCAGAACGCACCCCAGGAGAGGTTTGGGACAGGGTCTTGCGTCGCGCACAAGGCGGTCTCGCGAGGGCCGGGGGCTTCGAAGGAGGCTGGGGGCTCCTTGGAAGGCGTTTTTTTTTCTGCAGGGACCTGAGGCTTCTGAAGATGCTTCTCAGAAGTCAGGAGGGCTTCTAAGAGGGCTTCTGCCTTCTCAGACGCCCCCCCCGTCTTCTCAGAATGCCGCCCTCCTCGCGCCACTCCCCTGTGCACGCCGCCAGAGTTGAAGGCGGCCCTCCCAGCGAATTTCCTCTGTGTGGGGATGGGCTTTGCGATCCCTCCAGAGACGGCACTCATCCCCCCCCCGGGGGAGGTTGGGCGGCAAACGGGGCCAAGGTTTCCTTGGTGCGAATTGGGACCTTCGGGGGGACTCCCTATGGAGCCACGAAACGTGTAAGAGGTGTGCTGGCATGGGTGGCGCGCGCGGACGCATGCGGGCTGCGCCACTGGGACCTTCGGTGGAGCTCTTACGGGGCCACGAAGCGTGTGAGATGTGTATCAAAACGGGTGACGGGGACGCATGCGGACTGCGCCACTGGGACCTTCGGCGAAGGGGGTCACAGAACTTCTGAGGGGTGTGTCAACATGGGTGGCGGGGACGCATGTGGGCTGCGCAGCTGGGACACTTGGTGGAGCTCCTCTGGGGCCACGGAACGTGTGAGGGGTGTGCCGAAATAGTCGGCGTGGACGCATGCGGGCTGCGCCACGGGAACCTTCGGTGGAGCTCTTATGGGACCACGAAGCGTGTGAGCGGTGTATCATCATGGGTGACGGGGGTGCATGTGGGTTGCGCAAGTGGGTCCTTCGGTGGGGCTCCTACGGGGCCACGAAAGGTGTGACGGGTGTGCCGAAATGGGTGGCGGGGACGCATGCGGGCTGCCCCACTGGGACCTTCAGTGTAGCTCCTATAGGCCCACGATGCGTGTGAGGGGTGTGCCGATATTAGTGGCGGGGACGCATGCGGGCCGCGCCACAGTGTGAGCGGTGTGCCGACATTGGTGGCGGGGACGCATGCGGGCTGCGCCACGGGGGCCTCAGTTGAGCTCCTATGGGGCCACGAAGCGTATGAATGGTGTATCAAAATGGGTGACTGGGACGCAGACGGGCTGCGCCACTGGGACCTTCGGTGGAGCTTCTATGGGCCTACGAAGCTGCGAAACGTGTGACGGGTGTGCCAGAATGGGTGGCGGGGACGCATGCGGGCTGCGCCATTGGGACTCTCGGCGCAGCTCCTATGGGGGTTTCGACACGTGCGCGGGGTGTACCGAAACACAGACACGCGGAGGGTAGAGGCACGGATGAGAGGGGGAGGAGGAGGACACGAGGAGGAGAGGAGGACCGCGGGGCGTGGTCTCTGCAGAAGGCGGACCCAACACCTCCGGATGGTTGGGAAAAAGAAGAGGGTCAGCAGGTAAAGGGAGAGGATCAAGAGGGCGGACAAGCAACGGAGAAAGAACAACTGATCACGAGGAGGAGGGGGAGAGGGAGGTCCCCCGCCCTGCCTCTCGACCTCGCCTGCCGCATGCTGCTTCCGCTCATCCAGTGTTCCCGCGGCGTCGGGCCCCTGTCGCCCGTGCCTGCCCCCCCGCCCTCGCGCCTCGTGAGCGCCCGCCTTGCTGCTCCACCGTCCGCGGCGCCCGTGGCGTGGGGCCGGCCTTTTTGCCGTCTTCTCCCTCTCGCCCCGCCCTGCCCCTCCGCCCTCGCACCACCCCGCGAGCGCGCGCCTTCCCGCCCAGCCGTCCCTCCGTGCCGTCCTGTGCCCTTCGCGGCGGCTCCGGAACGTCGCGCGCTCCTGCCAGACGGTGGCGTCGACGTGCGGGTACGGTCAGGTCGTGTCTTGCGGACGCGGCGGCCGCCGCGCCACGGGTGTGCAAGGTCGCACGCCGCCGGTGGCTTGGACTCGTCGAGCACGGAATGATCTGGCAATCAAAGGTCGCCGATCGGTAAAGGTTGAGCGGACGACGCGGGGTCGTCCCGACACGGGCCTGCCGCACCCGATCCTTACGGGGTGGGTGCCAAGCAACTCGGCGGCCCCCGTCGCTCGCTTATCGTGGGGGCTCCTCGCTGCTTCCCTCCTGATGCTGGCCCCGCTTGCTCGCCGCCAGAGCCCAAATGCGCCCGTACGCGAGGGCCTGGCGACGAGTCACTCTCGCGGGTGACCCTTCGCTGGAGCGACGCTTGCCGCGCGGCCTTCGAGTGACTCGGGGGGGATGGGCTGCCCGTGGGTACTTTCCCAGGTGCCTTTGCTGGGCTGCCCGAAGGGTACCCCCCAAGTGCCTTACATGAGCGCCCCGGACTCGAGCACGCGCGCCGCTGCTGCTGTGTCGCCTGCAGCGATCGGCACGCCGCGCACCACACGTCGCTCGTGCCCGGGGCCACTCTTTGCGTGCAGCCTGGAGGAGCCATGCCGATCTCTTACAGTCCCTCTCTCTCTTTTGCCTCCTCCTCCTCCTCTCGGGCCGGACGAAGGAGGGTGAATTGGAAGGGGAGGACATCTGCCGCGCGCAGTTGGCGCAAGGGGTGCGCCAGGAATGGTGTTTGCGTGACCTGATTCGCGAAATTCCCCTCGGTATGCCCCCTTGATTCGTCCCCCAGCATACTTATTCTATATGTGCGTCGCCCCCCCCCCAGGGGCGACGTGCGCACCGAGAAAACTACTTATAGCATATGCGTCGTGGCGGGCGCTTTCTGGCCACACCGCTCGGGCAACGATATACTACAAGATGGGCATACTATATGATCGGGTCGGACGCGCGCCTCCAAGGAGGACATATGGTATTAGTATGTTTCTGTGCGTCCCAAGTCATGCCAGCCTGTCGCAGCCTTGCCATCTCCTCCAATCCCGCGTTGCCCAGGTGCTCGCCTCGCCCACTCTCGCCTCGCCCAGACTCTCCTCTCCTCTTGCCGCCTCTCCCCAGTGCCTTCCTCTCTCCAGCCCTCGCGCGCTCAGCCTGAGCCGACCGAGCTCCGAGCCGGCGGGACACGGTGACCGCCGCGAGCTCGCTTTGGTCGACGAGACGTAAGACTCGAGCGCGTCCTGGATTTTGACGATCCAGTTTTCGTGGGATGTCTGCCGCGGGAGCTCGCGTCAAATTTCATATTCGGGCTCGTCATTTTTATGATGGCCCCCATCAGACCAACCCGAGTCCGCCGTACCAGAGTCTTACGTCTCCCCGAGAGGAGGACGAAATGAGACAACCAGGTAGTTGGTGAGCCCCCTCGTCGCCACGGCTGGGCGACACCGGGAGTCGCTGGGGAAACTAGCTGCGCGAATCCCATTCGCTCAGGAAGAGGATTATGACCCCCTCCTTTGGTATTCCTCCCTCCCCATTTCGTCCGCCCCGAAAGTTGCAGGCGCGAGAGCAGTTCATCAAGAGCAGGATCCGACATGAGTGGGAGGAGATGTGGTAATAGAAGAGCATGCGCAAACGCAATATACAGTAATGGGTGATGATGGCGACGATTATCATTATGATGATGCTGACAATGAGTTGGTCATTGTGTGGACGAGGGTGATGGTGATAAGGAGTATCACTGTTGATAGTCATGAGGACTGCGAGGACGAGGATCAGGAGGCGGAGAGGGAGGTGTCAGAGGATGCGGCATATGAGGAGCAATCGCAGGGGCAGGGGGCGAGGCAGGTTCAGGAGAAATAGCCGGGGCAGACGGAGGACTGGGAAGCACGCGGAGACAGCACGGAGTCCAGGGGGGATATGGGGGGACCCTCTCCGAGAACAGAGGCCGTCCGTGGCGCCTTGGCCCGATCAACTTGAGGCTCCCGGGGGAGGTGCCACCTCCTCCTCCTCCTCCTCCTCCTCCTCCTCCTCCTCCTCCTCCCCCTCCTGCTCCTCCCCCTCCTCCTCCTCCTCCTCCTCCTCCTCCTCCCAGCCCCGTGATACGGATAGATCTGCCCATGCCCGCCCCGGCGCCCTCCAGAGTCCGGGGGAACGGCCGCGGCGCCCGACACGGCCCGAGATATCGCTCCGAGTTGGCCGTGCTCGATCTGCGCTCCTGTCTCGTCTTCGCCTCGGAGGGGTGCGGGGAGGGTTTGCAGGCACGCCAGTTCCCAGATGTCGGGGACGCACAACAATAGGGTGATGAGCGCCAAGACGGTCACGAAAGGCTCAAGAGGCCCCCAAGACGCGCCAGGAGGGACCTGAGACTGCCTAAGAACATTCGAAGAAGCCCAACATAGCTTCAAGTAGGCCCAAGATGGTCTCGAAAGGCTTCAACAGGGCACCAAGAGGACCCCCAAGAGGGTCCCAAGAGGCCAAGATCACATACAGCCTTAAGTCGCGCCATCGTCTTTCTGCCTTCCAATGTTCCAAGACGGCCCAAGAGGTCCCCAAGGCAGCACCAAGGCAGCCCAAGAAGCCCCCGTGAGGTCCCCAATGCGACCTCACAGAGCGCCAAGACGGCCCAACAGGCCTTCAAGACTTCGTAAAGACAGGGGCAAGGGCGAGGATCCGAACGGACATTAAGAGCTCAGACGCCAAGAGTTGCGGGGCGCGGGGAAGCCCCCGAGGCGATCACAAAGAAGTCCCAAGAGGCCACCAGAAGACCTCCAAAACGCCCCAGAAGCCCCTCCCCCCCCTGAAGCTCAAGAGTCCTCCTAGAGCGTTCCCCAAAGGCATCCCAATCAATTCCCAGCATGGTTTTGCCAGGCTCTGATGGGGCTCTAGGGCATACCCCCTCAGGCTGTCCTGGGTCCTCCTCGTGGCTGCCTTGCGCGCCTTCCTGGAGCAATCCTGGGCGCTTCCAGCAAACACTGATGGGGGATTTGCCCTGCGCCCATACCTAAGGCGCGAAGTCCTGCTGGACGTCGCCTCCATGAGCAGAGTGAGCCGCACCATCTGTCTGGCACGGTGTGTCATGTAACAGCTTAACGCTTCCCAGCAATGCACACAATACGGCCCAAAAGATCCCCAAGGCCGCGCACAACACGTTTTTGACCGACCCTGGCAGCCCTTTAAATGAATCGAGCTGCCCCACATCATTGGCTTCCAGAGTTACGACCTCCGAAGGCACCTCCGAGATAGTTCGCGAGGGGTTCCCGAGACGCCCAGGAGATCTTCAAGCCTGCTGAAGAAGGTCCACATGCCACGAGCCTCCCGACTCTCCCCAAAAGTGTCCTTCTGGCAGTTGTTCGGTGTATCTGCTCAGTGCAGCGGGATCTGTTGGGTTTTGCTTACTCAGCATTCACAGACTCCTGCAGCGTCCATCAGCTAGCACGATCCCATATGTTGATCCTTGCGGGATGATGCCCATCTCCATCCGATCCTGTGAGGCCGGCCTGGACTGCGCCGGAACCACGTGCGCGCGCGAAGCGCACGCGCGCGACGTTTTAGCTGGCGTGTGTATATACAGACTTTGGGTTTCTGAATAAGCGTGGGATGGTACCCCCCTGACGGGGTCAACCTCGCCTCGTCGTCGCGCCGCGACGGGGGTCGGAGCGCCTTCGGCGCGCGGTGGCTGCCTGCAATGGGGGTCGATGTGGGGCCGTCGGCAGGGGTGGCGCCCTCCCGACGCTTGTTAAGAAACTCGGAGTATGTTCGTATCCGTATAATGTGTGCCGTGTGTGTCAACACACGGATTTCCGTCGTGCGTCTTCCGGTCCTCCTCGCGAGCCCGGCCCTCCTTGAGTGGGGGCCCTTCATTGCGCCTCGGACGTTGCGCTACTTCCCCCCCCCAAACAACAACAGTCAGCAAGCACAAACATACAGAAGCACACGTTCTCTCGAGTTCCTCGGCCCTGCGGGAAGGCCAGTCGAGAACGAGGCGCACACTGGGAGGACGCGGGCGGGGTGAGGACGAGGGTGAGGGCGAGCGCGAGGGCGAGGTGAGCGCGAGGGCGAGGGCAAGGGCGAGACCCCCCTCGCCTCGCGACGGCGTGCCCCGAAGCAAAGTGGGAACCTCGCTTGTCCTCGCAGTATTATCTTGCAGTCAGGGCGCACAGTAAGGATGAACGACTTGCCAAGGTAGTCGTACCTTCGCATCCTTCCTCTTCGGCTCATCCTTGGCCACCATCGCTGGCCGAGCCCCGCTCGAGAGGTGTCGGCATTGCCTTCCAAGTTCTGAGTTGTCTGTCCTCGCAACTCCAATTCAAGGGCGCGCTTGCCTGCGCCAGCGGCGAGCAGACGATGAGAGAGCGCCGATGTGGCGTCGATTCGGCGTCGATGCGGCGTCGAGTTGGCGTTGACCGGCGTCGAGCAGCGTCGGCTTAGTGTCAACGTGCAGGAGCTGGCAAGGTGGCACGGGCGGCTTCGAGGAGTTGACCCCCACGACGGGCGCGGCTCGGAACGCCGCCGCCCCGCCCTCCCGTCCCGCGTCCCTCCTCTTGGGGGCGGCATCGCTCTGCGAGGGCCCGAGCCCTCGGGCCCGAGGCTGGGCGGGACACGCCCGTGCGAACATGGCAGCGCCGGGGCCTCGGGGGCCTCCCTCGCCTCGCGACGGCGCGGCTCGGAGGGGAAGGGCCCTGGGATCGAGGCGGAAAGCCACGCCGACACAAACATTTAGCGCTCCGCGCGGATTTCTTGGATCCGCGCCTGGGCCCCCCGGCGGCGCCTCTGGCGCCGCCCTTGGCGCGCTGCCCGCGCCAGGGAGGGGGGCCTGGCGCGGATCCAAGGAAACCGCGCGGAGATCCGCCCGCTCTCGGAGATCCGCCCCCTTTCCCGGCCAGCCGGGGGCAGCATGGCGCCAACATCGCAGAGCGGATTTCGCTCGGAAAACGATGGGATGGACCGGGATTGTCCAGGAGAATTTCGTTCCGGATTTCGAGGTGAATTTCGTGCGGGTTTTTTCGGCCAGGACTGAAGAGTAAGCAACATCCACGCGAGATTCTTGTCGTTTTTCACTCGCCGTTTCGGGGTTCAGCGTTGACAGCAATCCACACGAAAATCCGCTGCAGCACGTCTGCAAGGTCAGTGCAATGAGAAGCATATCCCTATCCCTATGATTGGCATCGCCTTCTCTCGATGCCGATCTTGGGGATCTTCTCAGTTCTTGAGGGCGCGTCCCTGAGATAGTCGTCGGCTTTTGGCTGGTCGACCCTCGGGACAGGGCCTGCGCTCGAGGCTGGTTCCGCGAACCCTTGTCCGGATTCTGTCCTCGCCCTGGCCTCTCTCGTCCCCTCCTCGGAGCGAGCCGCCGCCCCGCCCAGGCGAGGAGCGCCGCCGGGCGGGCCGCTCCGGCGGCACCTCCGCCGCCGCGCGGCCCGTGACGCCCTCCGCCTCGGCCTCGCCCTCCGCGGCGGGAGGCCTGGGCCGCGAGGCGCCGGGGACCGCCCCTCCTGGGATGGGGGGCTCCTCGAGGGGGCGGGGGGTCCACCCCGACGGAGGTCCCGAAGCCAGGGCGGATCTCTCTCCTGCAGGATCCTGCAGAGCCAGGGCTGCACCGGCCCCGGCGGCTCCAGGCCGACAGGGGGTCAGCCAGGGCGGATCTCTCCTGCCGGATCCTGCAGAGCCAGGGGCTGGCGCGCAGGAGCCTGCAGGATCTTGGTTCGGATTTTGCAGGATCCTGCAACGCTCGGGTGGTCTCGGTTTGCATTACCCCGGGCCAGTGCGTCCCCGATCGGAGTCGTCTCGGAGGTCTTCGAAGGCCACGACAGGGGCGAATGGTTGGAGGTTGATAGACCTCCTACCCTGACACGTCGATTCAGGAATTGGCTGTTTTCGGTTCGCGAGAGGGCGTCGCTGCCGTCATTTTTGCGGGCCCAGGTCCGTCGGTTTCGGTCCCGGGCCGTTTTCACTAAAGGGAGGTTTACTAAAGGGAGGTTTGTCCACCGCCGAAATGGCTCAGGGGAAGCAACACATGTATCCAGGGGCGCCGATGGTCGATGGCTTCGGCATGGCTCCCTGAGGGACACGTGCATGGCTCCCCCCCTGCGCGGTCCGCCCCTGTCCTCGCCTCCGAGGCTTGAGGTGGCCCCACCACCGGTTCCAGCCAGCAGGCAGAGAGGGCGAGGATCGAGATGCTGGGCTCGAGAAGGTTTTGGCCCTTCCCGGCCTCCGCTGGCCGTTCTCATGGGGCTGTCATAGACGGATCTGGGGTGAGAACCTGCCCCAGTGGACCCAGGGAGGGGTCCGGGAACCAATTTGTATGGATTTGGCCTCACCCCCCTCCCCTCCTGACAGATGTTCTGGGGTCCCAACCAGTTCAGACCCCTGGCCGCCTCCCAGCGCCACGCCTTGCTTTCGTTCTTTTTGGCCTCCTGGGAGACCCCTCGTTACCACGGCGGCTGGATCTGTCTTTCAAAGTCTTGGTCAGAGCGCACCCTGGGAGAGGTCTTGGGAGTAGAGCAACATGGATATCATTTGGTTCCTCCCTCCATCCTTCCTCCTCGAGCTGGAGCGGTGGGAGTTCGGATTGTTGTTAGGGGGTCGGGGGGGTCCCCAGGTCCGCGCAACAAACATCCCGATGGCTTGCTTTTCGTTGCTTTCGAGGGGCCACTCTACCCTGTACACTGCATTCTGAATACCCCTCTCATCTCTCCCTTGACTCTGTCTGGAAGATGCTCCGCCCTCGCCGTTTCTTTCTGTTCCACAGGATTGGACACACGTATCTTTTTTATGTCACGAAAATCATGTTGTCAATCCGATTGTTTCCATGTTTCACAGCGGTGTTCCCGCTGCAGCCTGGGCCACATTTTCGGATCGGCGCTTTGCTCCCGTCGTTCAGAGTTCTCGCCTACACATGCGCGACCCACTTTTCTTGTTCCGAGTCCTTCCTCATTGTTGTCGCACCCCTCCTTTGCCCTCCTCCGCCTTCCCCTGGTCCTCCTGCTCTTCCCTCTCCTTCCAATCCAGTTCCCGCTGCCGCTGTTCATCCTCGTCCTCCTTTTTCTTCTCCTCTTCCTCCTCCTCCTCCTCCTCCTCCTCCTCCTCCTCCTCCTCCTCCTCTTCCTCCTCCTCCTCCCCCTCAGCTTACATCTTTTTTCCCAACCATCCTGTGGTGTTGGGTCATCGTTTTGAAGAGACGGTCCCCGCGTTCCTCTCCCTCTCCTCCCCCTCCTCTTCTCCACCGCCCGCATGCGTCCCCCACACCCAATTTGGCACACCCCTCACGTTTTTCGTGGCCCCATAGGGAGCTCCACCGAAGGCCCCAATGGGACCGCCCGCATGCGTCCCCCCACACCCAATTTGGCATTTTCACCCACCCAGTACAGCGTTTCGTGGCCCCATAGGGAGCCCCACCGAAGCCCCCAGTGGGACCGCCCGCATGCGTCCCCCACGCCCAATTTGGCCTTCTTCACCCACCCAGCACAGCGCTTCGTGACCCCATAGGGAGCTCCACCGAAGCCCCCAGTGGTACCGCCCACATGCGTGCCCCACATCCAATTTGGTATTTTCGCTCCCCCCAGTATAGGCTTTCGTGCCCCAATAGGGAGCCCCACCGAAGCCCCCAGTGGGACCGCCCGCATGCGTCCCCCGCACCCAACTTGGCATTGTCACCCACCCAGCACAGCGTTTCGTGGTCCCATAGGGAGCTCCACCGAAGCCCCCAGTGGGACCGCCCGCGTGCGTCCCCCACACCCAACTTGGCAGTGTCACCGACCCAGCATAGCGTTTCGTGGCCCTTCAGGGAGCCCCACCGAAGCCCCCATGTGGACCGCCCGCATGCGCCCCCCACGCCCAATCTGGCATTTTCTCCCACCCAGTACAGCGCTTCGTGCCCAGTGGGACCACCCGCCTGCGTCCTCCACACCCAACTTGGCATCGTCACCCACCCAGTACAGCGCTCCGTGGCCCCATAGGGAGCCCCACCGAAACCCCCAGTGGGACCGCCCGCATGCGTCCACCACGCCCAATTTGACATTTTCACCCGCCCAGTACAGCGCTTCGTGGCCCCATAGGGAGCCCCTCCGAAGCCTCCAGTGGGACCGCCCGCATGCGTCCCCCACAGGGAGCCCCACCGAAGCCCCCAGCGGGGCCGCCCGCATGCGTCCCCCACACCCAATTTGGCATTTGCGCCCATCCTTTACAACGCTTCGCGGCTCCATGAGGAGCTCCTCCGAAGCCCCCAATGGGACCGCCCGCATGCGTCCCACACGCTTAATTTGGTATTTTCACGCACCCAGTGCAGCGCTCCGTGGCCTCATAGGGAGCTTCACCGACGGCCCCAGTGCTACCGCACGCATGCGTCCCCCCCCCGCCCAGCGCAGGGTTTCGTGGCCCCATAGGAAGCTTCACCGAAGAAAATGTTTACAATTGCGGTACCCACAACTTCATATGGTTGGGTCCTTCGCCAGGAGAATTAGTTGTCCCAATTATGGTTGGGTACTCGTGTTGAATAGAGCAGTGCGGTTGCCCCGTCCTCCTCCCCTCTCCTCCCCTCCTCCTCTCCTGTTTCCTTATTCCCCTCTCCTCTTCTCTCGTGGCGTCGGGCTTGCGATCTGCGCAACCATCGCCACTTCCGCGGGCTCCTGGGAGGCCCAGCGGAGGTGGATCCCACGCGGATCACCTCGGTAGTTCGCCGCCCCCTGGGGGGCTTGCGATCTGCGCAACTATCGCCACTTTCGTGGGCTCATGGGAGGCCCGGCGAAGGTGGGTCCCACGCGGATCACCTCGGCACCTCGCCGCCATTTGGGGGGCTTGCGATCTGCGCAACCGTCGCCACTTTCGCGGGTTCTTGGGAGGCCCAGCGGAGGTGGGTCCCACGCGGATCACCTCGGCACTTCTCCGCCATTTGGGGGGCTTGCGATCTGCGCAACTGTCGCCACTTTCGCGGGTTCCTGGGAGGCCCAGCGGAGGTGGGTCCCACGCGGATCACCTTGGTACCCCGCCGCCACCAGGGGGACTTGCGATCTGCGCAACTGTCGCCACCTTCGTGGGCTCCTGGGAGGCCCAGCGGAGGCGGGTCCCACGCGGATCACCTCGGAGCTCGCCGCCCCTTGGGGGGCTTGCGATCTGCGCAACCGTCGCCATTTCCGCGGGCTCCTGGGAGGCCCAGCGGAGGTGGGTCCCACGCGGATCACCTCGGTAGCTCGCCGCCCCCTGGGGGGTTTGCGATCTGCGCAACCGCCGCCTCGTTTCGCGGGTTCTTGGGAGGCCCAGCGGAGGTGTGTCCCACGCGGATCACCTCAGTACCTCGCCGCCCCCTGGGGGGCTTGTGATCTGCGCAAGTGTCGCCACTTTCGTGGGCTCCTGGGGGGCCCAGCGGAGGTGGGTCCCACGCGGATCACCTTTGTGGCTCGCCGTCCCGCGGGAGGCTTGCGATCTGCGCAACCGTCGCCACTTTCGTGGGCTCCTGGGAGGCCCAGCGGAGGTGGGTCCCACGCGGATCACCTCGGGACCTCGCCGCCCCCTGGGGGGTTTGCGATCTACGCAACCGCCGCCTCTTTTCGTGGGTTCCTGGGAGGCCCAGAGGAGGTGGGTCCCACGCGGATCACCTCGGTAGCTCGCCGCCCCTTGGGGGGTTTGCGATCTGCGCAACCGCCGCCTCGTTTCGCGGGTTCTTGGGAGGCCCAGCGGAGGTGGGTCCAACGCGGATCACCTCGGTAGTTCGCCGCCCCCTGGGGGGCTTGCGATCTGCGCAAGTGTCGCCACTTTCGTGGGCTCCTGGCAGGCCCAGCGGAGGTGTGTCCCACGCGGATCACCTCGGAAGCTCGCCGCCCCCTGGGGGGCTTGCGATCTGCGCAACCGTCGCCACTTTCGTGGGCTCCTGGCAGGCCCAGCGGAGGTGGGTCCCAAGCGGATCACCTCGGGACCTCGCGGTGTGCATTTGGGGCTGCGATCTGCGCAAGTGTCACCATTTTCGTGGGCTCCTGGGAGGCCAAGCGGGGGTACGTCCTACGCTGATCACCTCGGAACCTCGCGGTGCCCTGGGGGTTGCGAATTTTGCGCAATTGTCTCCACTTTCGTTGGCTCCTGGGAGGCCCAGCGGAGGTACGTCCCACGCGGATCACTTCGGTAGCTCGCCGCCCCCTGGGGGCTGCGATCTGCGCAACCGTCGCCATTTTCGTGGGCTCCTGGGAGGCCCGGCGGGGGTACGTCCCACGCTGATCACCTCGGAACCTCGCGGTGCCCTGGGGGCTGCGAATTTTGCGCAAGTGTCTCCACTTTCGTGGGTTCCTGGGACTCCCAGCGGGGGTACGTCCCACGCTGATCACCTCGGGACCTCGCGGTGCCCTGGGGGCTACGAATTTTGCGCAACTGCCGCCATTTTCGTGGGCTCCTGGGAGGCCCAGCGGAGGTGGGTCCCACGCGGGTCACCTCGGGATCTCGCCGCCCCCTGGGGGCTGCGATCTGCGCAACTGTCGCCACTTTCGCGGGCTCCTGGGAGGCCCAGCGGAGGTACGTCCCACGCGGATCAACTCGGGACCTCGCGGCGCCTTTGGGGCTGCGATCTGCGCAACTGTCGCAACTTTCGTGGGCCCCTGGGAGGCCTCGCGGAGGTACGTCCCACGCGGATCACCTCGGGACCTCGCGGTGCCCTGGGGGGTTTGCGATCTGCGCAACTGCCGCCACTTTCGTGGGCTCCTGGGAGGCCCAGGGTCCCACGCGGATCACCTCGAGACCTCGCCGCCCCCTGGGGGGCTGCGATCTGCGCAACTGTCCCCACTTTCGCGGGCTCCTGGAAGGCCCAGCGGAGGTGGGCCCCACGCGGATCACCTCGGTAGCTCGCCGCCCCCTTGGGGGCTTGCGAGCTGCGCAACTGTCGCCACTGTCGTGGGCTCCTGGGAGGCCCAGCGGGGGTACGTCCCACGTGGATCACCTCGGGACCTCGCGGTGCCCTGGGGGGCTTGCGATCTGCGCAACCGTCGCCACTTTCGTGGGCTCCTGGGTGGCCCAGCGGAGGTGGGTCCCACGCGGATCACCTCGGGACCTCGCCGCCCTCTGGGGGGCTTGCGATCTGCGCAACTGCCGCCACTTTCGTGGGCTCCTGGGAGTCCCAGCGGAGGTGTGTCCCACGCGGATCACCTCGAGGCCTCGCCGCCCCTGGGGGTTTTGCGATCTGCGCAAGTGTCGCCAATTTCGTTGGCTCCTGGGAGGCCCGGCAGAGGTACGTGCGACGCGGACCACCTCGGGACCTCGCCGCCCCCTGGGGGGCTTGCGATCTGCGCAACCGTCGCCACTTTCGTTGGCTCGTGGGAGGCCCTTTTGTGCTCACTTTTTTGGGTGCGTTTCTTTCAACGCGTTCCATGTTGTACATGTGCCGTTCCTCTTCTTGCTGCGCTCTTCTGAAATCACTGCTGGGTGCTCTTCTTGCGCACTGCGGGTCCTTCATAATGCCAGTCAGCATTGAGTGGTCCTGAGTAGAATCGCCATATGTATAGAACGGGTTGGGTACGTCACAGGGTAATTCTCCTCAGCTCCCCAAGTTCCGATGTTGCATCTTTTTTGGAGTTGCAGGTCCGTGATGACACGTGTCAGCGGACCCAACCATTTGAAGTTGTGAATGCAGCGTTGTGGGTACCGCGTTCGGTGGAGCTCCCTATGGGGCCACGAAGCGCTGTAAGGGGTGTGCCGTAATGAGCGGGGGAGACGCATGCGCCCGCGGCCATTGGGGTCTTCGGTGGAGCTCCCTATGAGGCCACGAAGCGCTGTACCGGGCTGGGGGGGCGCATGCGTGGAGGGGACGCACGTGGCCGTTGCCATTGATGGTCTCGGTGGGACAGGGGCGCATGCAAACCGCGTGTGTGGGGCCTTCGGTGGAGCTTCCCATTGGGCCACGAAGCGCTGCGCGCGAACGAACTGCGCCACTTGAGCCTTCGGTGGAGCTCCCCATGAGGCCACGAATCGCTGTATTGTGTGAGTGTGAGTTTGAGTTGTGAGTGTGTGTGTGTGAGTGTGAGATGTGAGTGTGTGTGTGTGTGTGTTTGTGTTTGTGTTTGTATGTGCGTGCGTGCGTGCGTGCGTGCGTGCGTGCGTGCGTGCCTGCGTGCCTGCGTGCGTGCGTGCGTGCGTGCGTGCGTGCGTGCGCGTGGTGTGTGTGTGTGTGTGTGTGTGTGTGTGCGTGTGTGTGTGTGCGCCATCGGGGCCTTCGGTGGAGCCCCCCTACGGGGCCATGAAACGCTGTACTGGGTGGGGGGGACGCATGCGAATTGCGCCAGGAGGGGCTTCGGAGGAGATCCCTATTGGGCCACGAAGCGTTGTATTGGGTGGTAAGAACGTGTGCGACTTGAACCACTAGGGCCTTCGGTGGAGCTCCCCAGGGAGCCACGAAACGCTGTACTGGGTGGGGAGACGCATGCGAACTGCGCCACTGAGGCCTTCGGTGGAGCTCCCTTTGGGGCCACGAAGCGCTGTACTGGGTATGGGGGGGGGACGCATGCGACCTGCGCCACTGGGGCCTTCGGTGGAGCTCCCTATGTTGCCATGGAACGCTGTCCTGGGTGGGGGGTGCGCATACGAACCGCATGTGTGGGGCCTTCGGTGGAGCTCGCCATGGGGCCACGTATCGCTGTACTGGGTGGGGGAACCGCATGCGAGAGCAGCCACGGAGGCCGTCGGTGGCGCTCCATGTGGGGCCACGAAGCGTGTGCGGGTGTACCGGATTGGTAGACTGATGCGGAGGCAAGACGCAAGTAGCGGGAGGAGCGAGGAGGGCAGCGGGAGGAAGGAGGCTTCGGGGGGCTGTCTCCTCAAACCGGGAACCCAACACCACAGGATGGTTGGGCAAAACATCAACGCAAGGGGAAGGAATGGGAGGGATAGGTTGCCAGACATGGCGCGAGCGCACTTAGCTGGTCTCCGCCAAGCTTCGGGATGCGAGCAGACAGCCTGCCCAGGTAGTTCCGTCTGGCCTCAACGGGCCCCCTGAGTAGTCCCAGCTGGCCTCATCAGGCCCCCCGCGTAGTTCGGGGTGGTCTCGACACCCTGGCGCCGCCTCCAGCGGCGCTCCTTGGGCGCTTCACGCCCCAGGGTTGCGGTGTTGAGACCGCCCTGGACTGCCCAGGGAGCCTGTGGAGGACGGCTGGGACTACGCGGGGGGCCTGTGGAGGCCAGCCGGGGCTGGGGTGGCCGTCTGTGCGCAGCCCGAGGCCTCACCACTCCTCCGCCCCCTCCTGGTCCTCTTCCCCCCTGCCCTCCCGCATGCTTTTTAGGCAAGACGCTTCGCGTTCACCGCCCGCCCATTCCAGTTTTTGTCAGAAGGGACGCAGACGCCGCCAAGACGAGGTTACAACATTCCGGGCATGGCGCAGATTCCCCCCACAGGTGTGTTTTGTATTTTCTCCTGCGTTCCATTTATCCTCCATCCCATCGCCTGTTGGGCTCAGGTGTGCCGTGCGGCTGAGCGATGTTGAACGTGTCGATTAGTTGTCGGCCGGTGCGATTACCAACGGATCAGTGGTATGGACGCTGGCTCTCTTGACCCTTGCTCCCTATTCACGGAAAGCCATTGATAGCCAGAACATTGCTCGATACCAACCAAAGACGGCTCGAAAACAGCCCAAGAAGTGCATACAAGGGCCAAAGAGGGCCACGAGACGGTCCCAAAAGGGGACCAAGAAGGGTCCGAGGCGGCCCAAGGGAGCCTCTGCACGACCCACGCGACAGCACCTCCGCGTTGGGCCGCAACGCCGTCCGAATGTCATCAAACATGGGGCTGATTCAGGGCCAGTTTAGGCTTCGTTGGGGGTCCA